ACGCACTGCTGTTAAATTTTTAAGAGTAGGTTTGAAATATTTTTTTGACCCGGGCAACGCAGGGTACTTCCCGCTAGTTGGATATACAGGTAACTCTATGAGTCTATATATAACTCTATGGGTATCTATGTAATTCCCTGGGTCTATGCATTACTCAATGCGTTTCTATTAACCACTATTTAACTATGTATTTCTATGAAACTCTCCGTAATAATATAGTTCTCTTTATAACTATGGTTCTCTGTGTAACTCTATGGGTATCTATGTTACTCTATCGGTCTCTATGTAATTATATGGGTATCTGTGTAACTCTATGGGTCTCTATGTAACTCTATGGGTCTCTGTGTAACTCTATCGTTCTCTGTATACTATATGGGTCTCTATGTAATTCTATGGGTCTCTATGTAACTCTATGGGTCTCTATGTAACTTTATGGATCTCTATGTAACTTTATGGGTCGCTATGTAACTTTACAGGTCTCTATGCAACTCTATGGGTACCTATGTAACTCTATGTGTCTCTTTTCAACTCTATGGGTCTCTGTAATTCTATGGGTCTCTATATAATTCTACAGGTCTCTATGTAATTATATGGGTCTCTGTGCAACTCTATGGGTCTCTATGTAATTCTATGGGTCTCTATATAACTCTATGGGTCTCTATGTAACTCTATGGGTCTCTGTGTAGCTCTATGGGTTTATGTGTAACTATGGGTATCTATGTAACTCTATAGGTCTCTGTATAACTCTATGGGTCTCTGTGTAACTTTATGGGTCTATGTGTTACTCTATGGGTCTCTGTGTAACGCTATGGGTATCTATGTAACTCTATGGGTCTCTGTGTAACTCCATGGGTATGTACGTAACTCTATGGGTGTCTGTGTAACTCTATGGGTCTCTCTGTAACTCTATGAGTCTCTATGTAATTCTGTGGGTCTCTGTGTAACTCTATGGGTCTCTCTGTAACTCTATGGGTCTCTCTGTAACCTTAGGCGTCTCTATGTAACTCTACAGGTCTCTATGTAACTCTATGGGTCTCTGTGTAACTCTATCGGTCTCTGTATAACTCTATAGGTCTCTGTGTAACTCTATGGGTCTCTGTGTAACTCTATAGTTATCTATGTAACTCTATAGGTCTCTGTGTAACTCTATGGTTCTCTGTATAACTCTATGGGTCTCTCTGTAACTCTATGGGTCTCTATGCAACTCTATGGGTCTCTGTGTAACTCTATAGGTCTCTTTATAACTCTATGGGTCTCGCCGTAACTCAATGGGTCTCTATGTAACTCTGTGGCTCTCTGTGTAACTCTATGGGTATCTGTGTAACTCTATAGGTCTCTGTGTAACTTTATGGGTCTCTGTGTAACTCTATGGGTCTCTGTGTAACTCTATAGGTCTCTATGTAACTTTACAGGTATCTATTTAATTCTCTGGGTTTCTATGTAACTCTACACGTCTCTTTGTAACTCTATGGGTCTCTGTGTAACTCGATCGGTCTCTGTATAACTCTATGGGTCTCTGCGTAACTCTATGGGTCTCTGTGTAACTCTATGGGTCTCTATGTAACTGTATAGGTTTCTGTGTAACTCTATGGGCCTCTGTATAACTCTATGGGTCTCTCTGTAACTCTATGGGTCTCTATGCAATTCTATGGGTCTCTATGTAACTCTACAGGTCTCTATGTAACTCTATGGGTCTCTGTGTAACTCTATAGGTCTCTGTATAACTCTATGGGTCTCTATGTAACTCTATGGGTCTCTGTGTAACTTAATGGGTCTCTATGTAACTCTATGGGTCTCTGTGTAACTCTATGGGTCTCTGTGTAACTCTATGGGTCTCTATGTAACTCTACAGGTCTCTATGTAACTCTACAGGTCTCTATGTAACGCTACAGGTCTCTATGTAACTCTACAGGTCTCTATGTAACTCTACAGGTCTCTATGTAACTCTACAGGTATCTATGTAACTCTATGGGTCTCTATGTAACTCTATGGGTCTCTGTGTAACTCTATGGGTCTCTGTGTAACTCTATGGGTCTCTGTGTAACTTAATGGGTCTCTATGTAACTCTATGGGTCGCTGTGTAACTCTATGGGTCTCTGTGTAACTCTATGGGTCTCTATGTAACTCTATGGGTCTCTATGTAACTCTATGGGTCTCTGTGTAACTTAATGGGTCTCTATGTAACTCTATGGGTCTCTGTGTAACTCTATGGGTCTCTGTGTAACTCTCTGGGTCTCTATGTAACTCTATAGGTCTCTGTGTAACTCTATGGGTCTCTGTGTAACTCTATAGGTCTCTGTATAACTCTATGGGTCTCTATGTAACTCTATGGGTCTCTGTGTAACTTAATGGGTCTCTATGTAACTCTATGGGTCTCTGTGTAACTCTATGGGTCTCTGTGTAACTCTATGGGTTTCTATGTAACTCTACAGGTCTCTATGTAACTCTACAGGTCTCTATGTAACGCTACAGGTCTCTATGTAACTCTACAGGTCTATATGTAACGCTTCAGGTCTCTATGTAACGCTACAGGTCTCTATGTAACTCTCTGGGTCTCTATGTAACTCTATAGGTCTCTGTGTAACTCTATGGGTCTCTATGTAACTCTATGGGTCTCTATGTAACTCTATAGGTCTCTGTGTAACTCTTTGGGTCTCTATGTAACTCTATGGGTCTCTGTATAACTCTATGGGTCTCTGTGTGTAACTCTATGGGTCTCTTTATAACTCTATGGGTCTCTATGTAACTCTATGGGTCTCTATGTAACTCTATGGGTCTCTGTGTAACTTAATGGGTCTCTATGTAACTCTATGGGTCTCTGTGTAACTCTATGGGTCTCTGTGTAACTCTCTGGGTCTCTATGTAACTCTTTGGGTCTCTATGTAACTCTATGGGTCTCTGTATAACTCTATGGGTCTCTGTGTGTAACTGTATGGGTCTCTTTATAACTCTATGGGTCTCTATGTAACTCAATGGGTCTCTGTGTAACTCTATGGGTCTCTTTATAACTCTATGGGTCTCTATGTAACTCAATGGGTCTCTGTGTAACTCTATGGGTCTCTATGTAACTCTATAGGTCTCTGTGTAACTCTATGGGTCTCTATGTAACTCTATGGGTCTCTATGTAACTCTATGGGTCTCTATGTAACTCTATAGGTCTCTGTGTGTAACTCGACGGAGCTGCCATGCGAGACGGGGACAGTCCCCGCGTGTGGGGCTGGAGGAGTGAAGTCGCCCCCTCGTGGCGCTGCCCGGAACCACGCGCAGGATGAGAGAACGCGGGGAGGAGGGTACTTGGTGAGGACGGTGAGGGTATGGGGTGAGGGGGAGGAGGGTACTTGGTGAGGACGGTGAGGGTATGGGGTGAGGGGGAGGGTACTTGGTGAGGACGGTGAGGTGTACGGGGTATGGGGTGAGGGGGAGGAGGGTACTTGGTGAGGACGGTGAGGGTACTTGGTGAGGACGGTGAGGTGTATGGGGTGAGGGGGAGGAGGGTACTTGGTGAGGACGGTGAGGGTATGGGGTGAGGGGGAGGGTACTGGGTGAGGACGGTGAGGGTATGGGGTGAGGACGGTGAGGGTATGGGGTGTGGACGGTGAGGTGTACGGGGTGAGGGGGATGATACTTGGTGAGGACGGAGAGGTGTACGTTGGTGAGGGGGAGGGTACTTGGTGAGGACGGTGAGGGTATGGGGTGAGGGGGAGGAGGGTACTGGGTGAGGACGGTGATGATACTTGGTGAGGACGGTGAGGTGTATGGGGTGAGGGGGAGGAGGGTACTTGGTGAGGACGGGGAGGGTACGGGGTGAGGACGGGGTGGGTACTGGGTGAGGACGGTGAGGTGTACGGGGTGAGGGGGAGGAGGAGGGTACTGGGTGAGGACGGGGATGATACTTGGTGAGGACGGTGAGGTGTATGGGGTGAGGGGGAGGAGGGTACTGGGTGAGGACGGTGAGGGTATGGGGTGAGGGGGAGGATGATACTTGGTGAGGACGGAGAGGTGTATGGGGTGAGGGGGAGGAGGAGGGTACTGGGTGAGGGGCAGGAGGGTATTTGGTGAGGATGAGGAGGAGGGTACTGGGTGAGGACGGGGAGGGTACGGGGTGAGGATGAGGAGGATGATACTTGGTGAGGACGGTGAGGTGCATGGGGTGAGGATGAGGAGGGTACGGAGTGAGGGGGAGGAGGGTACTGGGTGAGGACGGGGAGGGTACTGGGTGAGGATGAGGAGGAGGGTACTTGGTGAGGACGGTGAGGTGTACGGGGTGAGGATGAGGAGGGTACGGGGTGAGGACCGGGAGGGTACTGGGCGAGGGCAGAAGGTGCCGTGGCTGCTGCGTGTGGGTGAGCTGGTGAGGATTTGGTGAGGCACGGTGGGTAGAGCGGTGGTTGGCGCTACGCTGCGCTATGAACCCGGCGACTCGAGTTAAATTCCCGCTCATGGCCACCAAACACCGGTGACGATTGTCTGAAACGGTCCTGGCCCTCCACTAGGTATACTCAGCCTCAAATGAGTACCTGCTGCGGTGTGCCAACATCGCCACTCGAGAGACAAATGCGGCCGGACTTGCCGGCCTTCACAGATGCTCGCCAACAGCACCTGCCCCAACAGTCTGTTAAGGTTATACTGCTACCTCACCACTACTCTCACCAGCTCACCACCAACCACCACCACGCACCACACCATACCATGACCTCACCACGACCTCCACTGAATTTCCACCACCACCTCGTCTCCCACCGAAGCTCATGACCTTGAAGCGGTGGCGCTCCCCCGACGGGTGGACGTCGATGGGATGAGTTTTGCCATGGCTCGCCAGGAGAATGTGGTCCAGCAAAGTGTGGACTAATCGCCATCTGTTTCCATTTGTACGGAGACAGAGCACTGTGATCGTGCTGTTAGCGAGCACCTATGTAAATGTTGTGGGTTTACTTTCCAACACAGGTGTGCTGTTCTAGTAACGAATCGGCATGTTTTGTTTACGCGACAAACCTTACTGATTGTCTGTGTCGGGTGGTGCCGGGTTTATTGACGCATTGATATTTACGTGACTTGACCCGAAACGACAATCTATTGCGGATGACATTTTTTTTTTGCAAAGCCCTATAACTATTACTACAACTACGTGTTAAGCTTTCCTTTTCACGTGTATAACAATAACAACAGTGAGCGCAACTCATTACACGTCGTCTGACAGGCAGTGCCGCGACTCTCGGTGCGGCCCTCACGAGCCACAGCCCGTGCCCCGTCTCCGACAACCCAAGGGCTCCCTCGGCGAGACGCCCCTGGGCAGGCCGCCTCTGCCAGCGAGCCGTCGCCTCGAGCGGCACTGCCTTCTTCATCGCCGCGTCTGGCCTCCCGCAGTCGACATTAGAGACCGCGTGACGGCGTTCGCAAAGGGCGAGCCACGACTGTGTGTGTGGCGCGCCCGGGTCGTCCGAGCTTGGAGGCCGCACCTACAACTGTTTTGTATTTTACCGATTGAGGCCCACCCCTGAGCTTCCACGCAGCTCTATTCGGAAGCGACCTGGCTATCACAAATGATAGCTCGGCGAAGTGGCTTGTCGTCATCACGTGGAAAACTTGCAGTGGCAGCCACATACTCTGAGCGTACGTTGAGAGTATCTGAAACACCGGAGGACCCGGAGGAAAAATCCACGCGACCGCGGGGAGAGAGACACGCAAACTCCAAATATACAGCAGGCGTCAGGGTGTGGATAGAACCCAACGACCTCATGTGTACCAGGTGAGGTAGTTAACATCTACGAGCCACACGCAAACTCCAAATATACAGCAGGGGTTAGGGTTGCGATGGAACCCACGACCTCCTGTGTACCAGGCGAGGTAGTCAACATCTCCTAGCCACCCGTGGCGCCTACGGTTGCAATATAAATCACTCTGCCTGGTGATGCCGCTGCTGCGTTGGCAGTGGTGTACAAGCACAGCAAACTACAAGAACAGCTCACGTATTCGTCAATGATAACACTGTGGCTTTCAAATAAAAATAAAATATATGACAGATGACGTTTCGGGTAATGGCCCTTCTTTATATCACAGGCATGAAGGAGCCCGGCCGCCCGAAACGTCTATTATATAAATGTTTCCTTTGTAGTGCAGCTGCAATTGTCAACACACAACAGCGCATTTTTAAAACTAGATTGAAAACTATTTTTTTTATATATAACTGCTTTTTTTTAGTAATGTGTCCATCCCCACACCTTCGATTGGCGCAGTTGGCTATGTACGGTGTGGAATAAGTTCAAAATACATACATAGACTATCACAGAGACCCATAGACTCATAGAGAAACCCATTGTTGACCTTCCCCCACACCTCCAATGAGCGCGGTTGGCTACGTTCAGTGCGTGGGGGGTTCAACAAACCTACAGGAATCATCGCCCCCTACTGATGAGACAACTTGGCACTACCACAGTGAGCAAAATTGCACCACCATGGAATTCACTCCTTCCCATCATCATAACCAATCTCCATCATCATCGTCATCATCATCTCTTTCCTCCAAGCTCGCACACTAATAGCCTCAATTCAAGATACCTGCTTCTCTCTTATCGATTACAACTTTGATAATATGGCAGTACTGTTAATTGCTGGCCGTTCATCGTTTTGGGTTTTTGAGAGGGCCCCGTGAAGTTCACAGCCAGGCCCCGTGAACTTCACAGCCAGGCCCCATGAAGTTCACAGCCGGGCCCCGTGAAGTTCACAGCCGGTTCCCATGAAGTTTACAGCCGGACCCTGTAAAGTTCACAGCCGGCCCCGTGAAGTTTACAGCCAGGCCCCATGAAGTTCACAGCTGGTTCCCGCGAACTTCACTGCCGGGCCCCGTGAACTTCACAGCCAGGCCCCGTGAAGTTTACAGCCAGGCCCTGTAAAGTTCACAACCGGCCCCGTGAACTTCACAGCCGGGCCCCGTGAAGTTCACAGCCGGGCCCTATAAAGTTGACAGCCGGCCACGTGAACTTCACAGCCAGAGCCCGTGAAGTTCACAGCCGTGCCCTGTAAAGTTCACAGCCGGGCCCTGTAAAGTTCACAGCCGGGCACCGTGAAGTTCACAGCCGGGCCCGATGAAGTTCACAGCCAGGCCCCGTGAAGTTCACAGCCAGGCCCCGTGAAGTTCACAGCCGTGCCCTGTAAAGTTCACAGCCGTGCCCTGTAAAGTTCACAGCCGGGCCCTGTAAAGTTTACAGCCGGGCCCAGTAAAGTTTACAGCCGGCCACGTGAAGTTCACACATGGGCCCCGTGAAGTTCACAGCCAGGTCCCGTGAAGTTCACAGCCGGGCCCCGTGAAGTTCACAGCCGGGCCCCGTGAAGTTCACAGCTGGTTCCCATGAAGTTTACAGCCGGACCCTGTAAAGTTCACAGCCGGCCCCGTGAAGTTTACAGCCAGGCCCCATGAAGTTCACAGCTGGTTCCCGCGAACTTCACTGCCGGGCCCCCTGTGAACTTCACAGCCGGGCCCCGTGAAGTTTACAGCCATGCCCTGTAAAGTTCACAACCGGCCCCGTGAACTTCACAGCCGGGCCCCGTGAAGTTCACAGCCGGGCCCTATAAAGTTGACAGCCGGCCACGTGAACTTCACAGCCAGAGCCCGTGAAGTTCACAGCCAGGCCCCGTGAAGTTCACAGCCGTGCCCTGTAAAGTTCACAGCCGTGCCCTGTAAAGTTCACAGCCGGGCCCTGTAATGTTTACAGCCGGGCCCAGTAAAGTTTACAGCCGGCCACGTGAAGTTCACACACGGGCCCCGTGAAGTTCACAGCCGGGTCTCGTGAAGTTCACAGCCGGGCCCCGTGAAGTTCACAGCCGGGCCCTGTAAAGTTCACAGCCGGGCCCCATGAAGTTCACAGCCGGGCCCGATGAAGTTCACAGCCAGGCCCCGTGAAGTTCACAGCCGGTTCCCGTGAAGTTCACAGCCAGGCCCCGTGAAGTTCATAGCCGGGCCCTGTAAAGTTCACAGCCGGGCCCTGTAAAGTTCACAGCCGGGCCCTGTAAAGTTCACAGCCGGGCCCCGTGAAGTTCACACACGGGCCCCGTGAAGTTCACAGCCGGGCCCCGTGAAGTTCACACACGGGCCCCGTGAAGTTCACAGCCGGGTCCCGTGAAGTTTACAGCCCTGTCCTGTGAACTTCACAGCCGGGCCCTGTGAAGTTTACAGCCGGGCTCCATGAAGGAAAATCCTGAGGACCCGGAGAAAAATCTACGATACCACGGGGAGCGAGAGACACACCACAAACTTCAAATATACAGCAGCAGGCGTCATTTTCGGGATCGAACCGACAACCTCCTGCATACCAGGCGAGGGAGTTAACATCTCAACGCCACCGCGGCGCCTCCGCGTTTGTTTTTACTCTAAAGAGTTTTCAAAAGCAACTGTTGCTGAAAATTAGTTTAATTTCGTGCTCCAGCTTTGTCTGACGTTTCGCTCCACGTGCCGTTGAGCTTCTAGGATATTGCGCGGCCCTGTCCACGTCGCCTGTGGGGCTACGATGACGTCACAATGCTCTAATTGCCGCTCCAACTCAACGAGGGGGGGGGGGGGGGCGAAACGGAGACACACAGAGAGCAACACTGCCCCCCTGTATGCCAGGGGTCCGTCAAACACTACGCAGCCCAACCCTGACATCCTCAGTCACTCAACCGAGGGTTATCAACAACTTCCTCTATCATCATCACCACCATCAACAACATCATCATCCACCTCCTACCATCACAATCCTTCTCCTGCACAACTGTCACCCTGCTGCTGCTGCTGCTGCTGCCGTCCCTGCTCATGTGGGATCCTCCACCATGCCCAGGGGGTGCAGAGCCTCGTCCCCGAGCAGCCACCGGCCCAGCGTGTAGAGCGCCGCCGGGTACCAGTGCAGACCGCCACAGCCGCCGTCACCGCCGCCGTCGTCGCCGCCGCCGCAGCCGCCGCTGCAGTTCGCGGGCGGCGCCGCCGCGTCCGGCCCGCGCCCCGGCGGCGACGGGAGGAGGCCGCGCAGCGCGAGCGCGGCGCGCATCGGCGCCAGGGCCCAGTGGGCCAGCTCGTGGCGCTCCGTGGCAGCGTAGCACGAGGCCAGGACCCCCTCCACCACGATGGTGCCGTGCGCCGTGGCGGGCGCGTACAGAGCCGCGGGCAGCGCCGCCTCCCGCACGCGCTCGACGCGCGCCGCCCGGAGCAGCCGCCTCTTCCGCGGCACCGCTCCGCCTCCTCCTCCTCCGCTGCCTCCACCTCCGCCTCCTCCGCCTCCTCTGCCTCCGCCTCCTCCGCCGCCTCCGCCTCGCGCTCGCCCCGCCGCCACCGCGGTCACGTAGACGTAGTGGCCCGCCCGCACGCCGCCGGCGAAGCGCGCCGCGAAGGGCCCCGCGGGCGACTCGGCGGCGAAGAGGAGGTGCGCCGGCGTGAGCAGCAGCGAGCGCCGCGGCCGCAGCGTCTCGACGGCCACGAGGCGCGCGCGCTCCCGCGGCCGCGCATCCAGGAAGGCCACGAAGTCGCTGAAGAAGGGGCCGCGCGCTGGCGACGCGGGGTCCCCGGCGAGGACGCGGTCGCCCGGACGCAGGTCGCCCACGCGGCGTGCGCGGCCGTCCTCCAGGAGGGCGCGAGCGGCGCCTGGGAAGCAGCCACCGGCGCGCGCGGCCGCTGAGTCGTCTGCGTGACAAAAGACAATGGTGAGTACCCCCCCTCGCCCCTCGCCCCCCCCCCCACCTCCCCACCCGCACATAGCCTGAGCAGGCACTGTTAGAGGGGCAGCTCCCGCTGTACGCGGGGTGCGGCGCCTGTGAAGGTTGGGAATGGCGCGCCAAAGGGTGGGTGGGTGGGTGGCCAGCACCACCACCATCACACACGCCCCGGCTGACTTTGAATCAGAAATCTGAATATTTATTTGCACTGGAGGAATCCGATGAGCTATTAAGCTCTTTTTGGCGGATGTCCAGTCGGGGCACAGGGTAAGAGCGCTACAACAGCAAGCAATGCAAAACAACACGGAAGGTCGACTCTGCTCCCGGCTTTGCCTCCTGCCCACAATGCCGATGGTTTACTATCCACGCACCGCACAAGGCACTAATTTAATGCGGAGTCGACCTACGGGACAGCTGCAGGAGCGGTTGAGAAATTCGTCATCGATGTTGGTCGTGAGCGGGAATCGAACTCAGGTCGTAGCAGAATGCGCTCACCTCTGCGTTTCCATGCCACAAAGAAATAGTTCCCCGGTATAGCCTTCACTGACTGCTGAGGCAAGTGCTGTGAGCGAGCACCTATTTAGGCTGGCACGGCACAAAAGGGTGGCCAGCACCACACCAGTTACTCGCTTGAGGCTGAGTCGTCCTAGATGAGGCTCAGGACCGGTTCAAATAATCGTTCCTGGTGTTGGCCGTGAGCGCGAATAAAACACACGCATACATACAGCAAGCATTTAGAACGCCGGAACCGCACGTGCTGTACATCACAAGTTAATTATAGTGGCGTTGGCTACGCTGCTGCGCATGGCTGCCTGTAGTCCAGCACCGTGAAGGCAACAGCGAGGGTTGGTGGATCCCCGCACAGACGCTGTTGGAAACTCCCATTGCGTGGCTTTCGTGGACGCTGTCTTACCAGGCCCAGCCAGAAGATGGCGGTAGAGCATTGTGTGAAAACGCCTGCCGAATGAAACCCCTCCCACCACACCGAAGAACAGCGCCCAAGTCGGGAATCGGACCGACGAGCTTCGTGCCACCGGGGGCTCGAGTGCCGCTACGGCGATGCCGATTTTTATTTTGCCAGTAAAGTCCCGCTGAGCTATATCGCTGTTTTTTTTTTCAGAAGCGATCAGGCCACGAAGGGTAGCGTACAAATTTGGTTCATCGTCGAATGGATTTGTACGGTCGCCAAATGCTCTAAAACGCGTGATGTTGTTTCTGAATGTGGATGGAAGCAACCGGATGACCCGAATAAATTCCACGCGCTACCACGAGAGACAGAGACACGCAAACTCCAAATATACAGCAGCAGCAGGCGTCAGGGTCGGCATCGAACCCACGACCTCCTGTATACAAGGCGAGGTGGTTAACATCTCCTAGCCACCGTGGCGTCATGCCAGTCCAGCGTCGTTCACGCCTGCGGACAATAATTGCCCAAGTTCTGTTAACCCCTTGCGTTAGTTCACGATCTTTAGCCATGACTTCGACGGCGCTGTTTGTTGGTGGCCGCCTCATGCGGTTGGACATTCGGGTCTTGTGCTCTTGAGCAACTTTGTTTCGAGTTCGCGTCCTTGCTCCACATTTAGAAGCGTGCGGTGAGATTATTTGGATGGTTCTGCTGCTTAAAAAATGTTAAATGATGGTGCCGCTTGGTTGAGCTGCCATCATTTGTGATGGCCAGGTAGCTTTTGAAAAATAAGTAAATACCTCAGTGGGCTTTTGCCTGGTAGGATGTGGATGGTTTAGTGTTATACGTGTTTGGGTGATGTGTTCACCTTTGTGTAACACGTAGGCTTTCATAATAAAGGTTTTTGGGTTAGATCGCGTTTATTTATAAATGTGTCGTAACCCTCCACCACCCGACACGGCCAATCAGCAAAAAAAGTGTCACGTTGACAAAAGACAAATAATTCACTACTTCAGCCCACCGGTGTGTTGAAGAGTTAATCCACATTTACAGTTTGAGTACGACGTTTCGCTGGTAAATACATCCAGCATCATCGGGCAATTCGCCAGAATGGTAAAGCCCTCGCTTGCTCCCGGTTTTTATATAGAGCAGCAGGGTGACGTCATCACTTAACTCATATCAGGTGCAGTGATTAGAGGCAGGGGGGGGGTATTGTAATTATATAATCGATTAGTAATCAGTCATTGGTTATGATTAGTAATGAGTTGTAGATTAGTAATTCTTTAGATGTAATGTGTATTATTTAATAATACGCTTCCAGGCCGCACTAAGCCGGTAGCTGTCAGAGCGATTAAAGTTATTCTTGTTCCTCTCAATTTCAATGGATTCTCTAATTAGTCTTTGCCAGTAATAATTAGTTTTACACACCACTGCAACATTGTCAAAATCAATTGAGTGTCCTTGTTGACAAGCATGTTCTGCCACTGCCGACAGTTGTGTTTGAGATAATTTAATATTTCTCTGATGTTCTTTTAGTCTTACGCTGATGTTACGTCCCGTCTGCCCAATGTAGCAGCTGCCACATGAACAATTAATCCGATATACACCTTCTGTTGATAGTTTAGGTAATGCATCTTTAGTGCAAGATACTAGTTTTTGAATTTTGTGTACTGTACCAAATCTTACTGTAATGTTTTGCTTTTGCAGAACACGGGCTAATTTGTCAGTTACTCCTGAGATATATGGAATTTTTATTGTTTTAACAATCTGGTCGCTTTCAGCAGTATTGCTTTGCGATCGTGATTTGGCATTCAGTGCTCTGTTAATTTGAGCATTATTGTAGCCATTCTGTCGTAGTGCGTTTTTAACGTGTTTAATCTCTCTCACTAGACTCTCACCATCTGACACTGTTTTGGCCCGATGTACGAGCGTCTTGATAAGAGAGGATTTCTGAGCTGGATGATGATGTGATTCTGCATTCAGATAGGCATCAGTGTGCGTTTGCTTTCTGTAAACGCTGTGTGTTATTTTACCGTTTAGGCCATGTCCAAGCAAAATATCTAGGAATGGGAGTGTGTTATTCACCTCCATTTCCATGGTGAACTGGATGGCCGGGTTTTGTGCATTGAGATGATTTAGAAAATCATTAAGTGTATCTTTACCATGTGGCCAGACAACCAAAGTGTCATCCACATACCTAAACCAAAAGGATGGTTTTAATGTGCTCGAGGCAAGTGCTCTTATTTCAAAGTTTTCCATGTACAAATTTGCTATAGCAGGGGATAAAGGAGAACCCATTGCTGCTCCTTCCTTTTGTTTAAAGAAATCCCCTCTCCATAAGAAGTAAGTGTTATTTAAACAATGGCCAGCAAGTTTTGGAATATCTTTTTGTAAACCGGTATTCTTTACTAGTGTATCAAGTAATTTAAGCGATTCGTCCACTGGAACCTTAGTGAATAGAGAAATCACATCAAAACTTACCAGAATATCATCAGGAGTAAGTTTAATATCTTTAATCACATTCACAAGATGTTCTGAATTTTTTTATGAATGAAGATGTCTTACCGATGTAGGGCTGTATTTGTTTCGTTATATATTTTGCTAATTGATATGTGGCAGAGCCAATTGTACTGACTATGGGTCGTAATGGGATGCCGATTTTATGAATCTTTGGTAGCCCATAGAGTCTAGGTGGTTTTGAGGCCCTTGGCTTAATTAGGTATTGCTCATTTTTAGGGATTAATGAATTTGCAATTATTGCAGTGGTCTTACGTTCTAAAGTATTAGTTGGATCTCGTTTAATTTTAATGTAGGTACTTTCCTCTAGTAAATTTACGACCAATATCATCTATAAGAGGTTTTTTTTTTGGGGGGGGGGGGGTTTGGGTTAGATTGCGTGAATATATAAATGTTGTGTCGTTAAAACCCGCCGCCACCCGACACAGCCAACTAGTAAGGGTTGTCACGTCAACAGCATTTACAACCTGAGTACGACGTTTCGCCAGTAATTACAACTAGCTTGATCAGGCGACAGCCATATTTGTGGAGAAGTCTTACTCTTTCGTTCCTTATACAGAGGCGTAGATGTGGTGACCACGCTTCTGCCCTCTTGCACAATGTGTGGGGGGGGGGGGGGATTAACGAGTCAACGTACATTATGCATGTGCATAATGTACGTCATGTCCTTCCTGTCCATTGTGTGTATTATGTGTGTACCTTTCTTGTACTTTACACTACCATCGGGTGTTGTGCTGTTTGTTGTGGTAACGTTCTTACCCCGTGCGCCTTACTGGACATCTGTGAAAAATATCTTATATAGCTCATCGGATTCCTCCTCCAGTATTAATACTGATTCTGAATATCAGTGCCCCTAGCAGTGCCCCTAGCACTGCTATTCACACGAGAGGGTGGGTGGTCAGCACCACGCCCGACCGCATTGATCTCCCAAGTGGCGATGTTTTACACACCGCACCGGGTACTCATTCCTGATTGACTATTGCACGGATGTGACGTCACCGCCCACATCTGCGTGGTGATGTCACTCGAACCACGCCCCCCCGCCCACCATTCGCCCACTACCCCAGGCCGTGTAACCCGCATGATTTGCAAAATGGAAACGATGCGTCAATGTAACATTAAGGTTAATAAAAAGATTAATAAAGCAACAAACATATTTCAAACTGTATTACGATACGAAAAGTTTTGCTGGCTGTTTGGACGTCTGTACTTCCCGGAGTGAGGGACCAATGGTTACGTTCACAGGACGTAAAACAAAACACTACTTACCATCTTCTTTCGTTCTTTCGGTAAAGTCACGTAGAATGAGAATAAAATAATAAATTGATAAAATAAAATAACACAATAATATTCTCACGACGTTTCGGCCACAACACAAGCGGCCTTCATCAGGTGAAGGGACGAGACTGTCTGGTAGGACAGCGCTGGAGTGAAAAAGCCACGTTCAGATCACGACCTTTAAGCTGTGTGAGAGGAAACAAAGCGCCTTGACAAAGGAATTAGCATATAATTTAGCATTGAAATGGCTGAGTGATTAGCTTGTGACTGGTCACAGAAATGGCTATGTTAAAAGTTAAAGCATACACATCCGCAGAGGCACCCCTTGACAAAGGAATTAGCATAGAATTTAGCTAATCACTCAGCCATTTCAATGCTAAATTATATGCTAATTCCTTTGTCAAGGCGCTTTGTTTCCTCTCACACAGCTTAAAGGTCGTGATCTGAACGTGGCTTTTTCACTCCAGCGCTGTCCTACCGGACAGTCTCGTCCCTTCACCTGATGAAGGCCGCTTGTGTTGTGGCCGAAACGTCGTGAGAATATTATTGTGTTATTTTATTTTATCAATGTATTATTTTATTCTCATTCTACATGACTTTACCGAAAGAACCAAAGAAGATGAATCATTGCAGTCACGAAAGCTTTAAATCGAAACACTACTTACCAATCAAGCCGTGGTGTCCACTCTGACCCTCTGGCCTCTATATGGGGCTCTGAGGGCTCTGAGGGAGGGCCATTGCCCCAGAAATGTCGCCTATTACAAGTATACAGTATATAGTATACAGTATATAGTGTTGCTGTGTATACATACGGCAAGTCCACGGTTAACGCGTGATATTCACATTGCAACGCGTTTTCGCTATAACGCGGTGGTTCTGCCATTCGGGAACACTTTTCACACAACACAGCACGCGCCCCATTATAACGGAGAACGCGGGCCGTTATAATGAGGAACACGGCCCGTTACAACGTGGAATGCGTCCCGTTATAATGCGGTTTCTGACTAACTACTTTCTTGAGCTGCGCGGCTTAGCAGTTTGATACAAATACGTCGCATGATACAGTAACGTTCATATTGTATGTAGCCAACCGTGCCAATCAAAGGTGCGGGGGAGGGGGGGGCGGGGAAGGACAACACACTAAACACAAAAATAATTTGTCCGGCCATCTCACCATGTGCGCGTAGTAGTAGTGCATCGGATTTCGCCGAACGTTATCGTTACATTATGGTAAAAATTGATATTTGCTTGACGCGGCACTTTTTCAGGAACGCATCTACCGCATTAAACGAGGAGCTGGGCCATATACGATATAAATGGACTCATACGTTTTGGTTCTATTCGGTAAAGTCACGTAGTTAAAAAATAAAATAACAAAAATCACGGTTTTTGTTATTTTATTTTTTACCTACGTGACTTTACCGAATAGAACCAAAGAGTATGGATCCTTGCAGTCATGGAAGCTTCAAATCTAGAATAAATGGACTCCTCTACTTACGAACATTCGACATGAAAGTTAGAGATGGTCGTAAGTTCAACTGCCGCGAAAGAGATGGCGGTGGTGGCATCTACATCTACAGGGGATTATACAACTTTAAAGCAATTCCTCGTGTTTAGTGGACATGCCGTACAACGTGTTTGGAATTAACAGGAGTAAAGTTGGACTTACGAACAAATCCACTTACCTCTGGATCCTAACTCGTTCATAAGTAGAGAAGTCCCTTCATACGAATATCACTGTGTGACGTCACAGCCAACGTCACAAACAAAGACAATGACAAAGATCTCCCGTATAGGCTTAACAGACTGTAGGGACAAGTGCTGTTAGCAAGCACCTATAAAGGCCGTCACGGCACACGAAGGAGTAGGTGGCCAACACCACGCCCGGCCGCCTTTGTCTCCCTAGTGGCGATGTTTACACACCGCACCAGGTACCCATTTGAGGCTGAGTCAACCCAAGGGAGGCCCAGGACCGGTTCAGATAATCGTCACTGGTGTTGGCCGTGAGCGGGAATCGAACCCGGGTCGCCAGGTTCATAGCGCAGCGCGCTAACCGCTACACTACCCCTCTCCACGTCACACACAGACACGTGCACGAGCGAGCCCTACCGGCCTTGACGGAGCAGTGCACGTGACCCTTGGACTCGTAGTGGACCCAGTCGAAGCCTGCCTCGACCGCCAGGCGCGCCAGCATGCCGTACTTGGCTCGGTCGCGGTCCGACGTGGTGATGTCCACGGCGCGCCCCTCGTAGTGCAGCGACTCGTCCGAGTGGTGGCCGTCCTCGTCCCAGCCCTCGGTCACGCGCAGCTTCACGCCGGGCCACTGGTTCATCACCGAGATGGCGAGCGAGTTGAGACGGTCCTTGCAGCGCTTGCGGGGCAAAAGCGACAAAAGGCAGAAGTCCGTCATCCCGTCGTCCCCTCGTGTAGCTGCTCACGGGCTTACCGAGGGAAAAGCGCCGTCAGCGAGTGGTAGCTACGAAGGCCGGGCACGGCGGCACAACCAGGGTGGGTGGTGTGGCAAGCACCGCGCTCGCCCATCTTTGTCTCCCTCGTGCTGGCGATATTTACAAATTGAACCAGGTGCAAAACAGCAACAACGACAACAGCGACAGCCGTCGTTCACCACTAAGTGGAGGTGACGACACCAGGGCACTTGCGCCATGGGTTGACGGAGACCGCTGGGAGATGCACCAGCTGTGCACTCCACTGTGCCAACTCTCCGTGTTTTAGCCGCCCGACGCTCCGCTCGTTGTTGTGAGTGTCCCTCCTCTGTCCTCCGTTGTTGTTGGAGGGCGACTGCTTCCAACTCCCCAACAGCGTCCTTCACGAACATCCTCCAAGTCCATTCAGCTCCGCATTCTCCTGTACCATATCAGTCCATGTCTTCGCTAGCGCGTTTGCTGTGCCCATTTAACCCCATCTATCTCGCCGACCAGAAGCTGCTTGGGCATGCGGCGACTGGGCATGTGGACTACATCACCCAGCCAGCGCAGGCTCACTTGCCGGAGGAGCTCACCGATGGGACTTTGCCCAGATCTCTCAAGGATGTGTGAGCGCCTCACACAATCCAGCCTGGTTAAATGCAGCATGGATCCTAGGCAGGCCAAGCCTGAATGTTTCAAACCGGCGCAGATGTTCATTTAGAGGGCTCCACGTTTCGCAAGCGTAGAGAAGGGAGGGCATGGACCGTGGCAGAGAAGACCCGGAGCTTTTATATGGAGCGACAGGCCAGTTATCTTCTACACAGCGTTGCGCAGCTGTAAAGAAAGATAATACCACTAGATTGATTCGGCTTGAGACCTCTGCTGCCAAACCTGAGCCGGTCATAAGCCCAGGCACGGAAACTCTCTCCCCTACTGCCCCATCACCAGGTATAATACACACGTACACATAGACACAGGTCCCCCCCGTGTAGCCTGAGCTAATGGTTGGAGCACGTGGATCGAATCCACGCCCTCCTGCATACCAGAGGTAGTGAACATCTTGTCTATCGTGGCGCCCCAAGCGCTGTTAGCCAGCACCTATGAAGGCCAGCACGGGATACGGGGTCTGGGTGACCAGAAACACGCCCGAACGCCTTTGTCTCCCTCGTGCTGGCGATGTTCACACATCCGAGTTCGACAAACTCACACAACAACAGCCATTCGCCACGAATTGGCGGTGACGTAACCACGGTGCTGGTGCCAGGCTATGTGCACGTTAAGACCACGTGACGTGTCGAACGCCCGCTGGCACGAGGTCACGGGACAGACCCAGGTGTCATGGGTCGAATGACTGAGATGACTGCCCGATGCACCACCTGTGCCCCCTACTGTGCCAACAAGTTTTGTTTTGTCCGCCCGGCGCTTCGCTCGTTGTTGTGAGCATCGCTCCTCGGCCCTCCGTTGTTGTTGGAGGGCGACAGCCTCCAACCACCACCACCAACACCACCATCATTCTGACATCCTACGCGGTCGCCAGCCATAACAATTATCTGTTGTTTGTAGGGGTCCAGCGTAGGGGGGGGGGTCAGTCTCCTGCCTCTGCTAAGTAGGGGGAGGGGGGGTAGTGGGGGGGGTTGGGGGGGGAGCTTGGTCACGAGACGTCACGGACCCTGGCACGCTATTCACGCCGCGACTATTTTCCACGGTGCTGAGGTAAACGAGGTAGAGGGGGGCATACCCCCCAACTCCCACCCTCCCCTCCCGTCAACTCTCTCTGGGCGGATCTAGAAACATCTCCAGCGGTGGAGGAGGGGGAGCTCTATCCCCCCCCCCCCATCTCCTGCACAACATCGCTGGCGCGTGGCACCTCGAGGCGGTGGCAGGCGCTCCGGCCGGGACAACAATCACAGCTACAGCAGCAGCTTCGACAACAGCCATCGCAACAGCACAACACAGCCACGATAGGGGACGGTGAGCCCCTTGACTCAGCGGCAGCGCTGGTTGGTTCGGATCAAGAGGGCCGGCGTACTCGTGTATCTTGACTTTTCAGGGATGAATATTCTTTGGGTCTTTCGGTAAAATAACGTAGATCGGTTCAAAGAAAATGACAAAAAAACTACAACACAAGCGGTCGACCGCTTGTGTTGCGATCGAAACATCGTAGTTTTTTTTGTTATTTTCTTTGAGCCTATCTACTTGACTTTTACCGAAAGTCCCAAAGAATGTGAACGTGTGTATGTTGAACTTCTTTCGCACCGTACGTAGCCAACCGTGCTTATCGGAGATGCGGGGGAAGGACAACAAACACGAAACACAGTGGGGAATATCCGAACCGGTGGCCGGCTTCCCCTACGTCGACTCCACCACCGAGATGTTAACCACCTCGCCACGCATGCAGCAGATCGTGGGTTTGATCCCGACCCTGACGCCTGCTGCTGTATATTTGGAGTTTGTGTGTCTCTCTCGTTCTCTCTTCACGTGGCCGCGTAGGATTTTCTCCGGGTCCTCCGGTTTTTCCCTCCACATTTAGAATCAACGTCACGCGTTTTAGCAAATGTGGCTGCTATACGTTTCCACACGATAATCCCACTTCGTTGAGCTATCATTTGTGGCCAGGTTGCTTCTGATTAAGAACTGCATAGCTCATTGGGCCTTACCTGTTAACATAAAAAAATAGTTGTATTGCATCCCAGCTGCTGTACCATATGGAACACGCACCCTGAGACTCATTGTGACTCTCCCGGAGAAGACAGTCGTACTGTTCAGAGGATCACAATCATTACCTGGTAAAACTAAATCAAACATAGTTACGTTTTAATATTATATTCTTAGCCCTTTCGGTGAAGTCACGTTGAAGGGAAACAATAAAATAATAAAATATATATAAAACAATAAAAATTCTCACGACGTTTCGACCATAATATATTTTATTATTTTATTGTTTCCCTTCAACGTGACTTTACCGAAAGAGCTAAGAATATGAATTATTGCAGTCACGAAAGCTTTAAATCAAAATACGTTAAAATAGTTTTTAATGAGCACCCGGTGCGGTGTGTAAACATCTGCATTGGGGAGACAAAGGCGGCCGGGCGTGGTGTTGGCCACCCAGCCCCCTCCCCGGTGTGCACGTGCTGCCCGTTAAGAGTAGCGGGTGCTCGCTGACGCCACTTGGCCCCCAATAGTGCGTGCGAGCTACGCTGGGTGGCCTTTGTGTTGCAGGAAGAGGCGGTTAGCGGTGGGTGTCGACACCCGTCGGGGGGCGCCCCTCGCGATGAATGATTCACTCGGCCTCGGGGCCAGGGGTCTCACTATCAAGACGAGCCCCCACGGGGTGGGGGGGGGGGTTACACATTCACGCGGGGGGTAGGGGGTGAGTGCGGGGGGGGGGGCGCGAGGGGGCCGTGTCCCCCATGAATAATTTTGCCGCTGTTTAAATGTCCAAAATGATGGTGGCCACTTTGTTGAGCTATAATTGGTGGTGGGCAGGTCGCTGTGGAATAATAAGTTACTACCTCAGTGGGTTTTGCCTGACAGGATGGGGATGGTTTAGTGATGTACGTGTTTGGGTGAATTGTTTACCTTTCTTGTACTTGTGTATAGTTGTTGTAACGTTCTTACCCGCCCAGACTTGACATCTGTGAAAAAGAGCTTCATAGCTCATCGGATTCCTCCAGGATTAATAAATAGTCGGATTCTGAATAGCAGTGCTCCTAGCGTATGAATAGCAGTGCTTCTAGCACTGCTATTCACACGAGGGGGTGGGTGGCCAGCACCACGCCCGGCCGCCTTTGTCTCCCAAGTGGCGATATTTTACACACCGCACCGAGTACTCATATGAGTCGATCTATGGGAGGCCCAGGACCACACACACACACACTGTCACACGAACAAGGATCCCACATGAGCCTTTAGCAGACTATTGGGCTCAGAAAAACTATTACTATTAACTGTTTTATTTTACCAGGTAAGGTCCACTGAGCTATACAGTGCCGCTCTTTCTCAGCAGCGACCTGGCCACAAATGATAGCTCAACGAAGTGTCTCATCATGTGAAATGTATACCATCATTCGAAATGTGGAGGGGAAAAACACGGATAATAAAATCCACGCGACCACGGGGAGAACATGCAAACTCCAAATATACAGCAGCAGGCGTCAGGGTCGGGATCGAGCCCACGACCTCCTGTGTACCAGGCGAGGGAGTTGACATCTCGCTCATCGTGGCGTCCAAAGTGCTGTTGGCGAACACCACAAGGGGGTGGGTGGCCAAGACCACGCCCGGCCGCCGTTGTCTCCCCATTTGTGATGTTCAAACACCACACGAAGTACTCATTTGAGGCTTAGTCGACCTAGGGGTGGCCCAGGACCGCTCACAACACTGACAAAGACAAAGCCACGCTCGCACACTGCCGAACAGGGGGAGACCATACACACTGCGCGCAGAAAGTCGCCCGGGTCGGTAACTGAACTCAGGTTGCTTCTTGCTGTGAGGCGCGCGTGCCACCGCCACTGCTGTCCAATAAATAATAACCGGTTCAAAATGAATCGATTAATGATCTGCTCGCCGCGTCACGTGGCCTACTGCCGGGCGGAGTCGCCTGGGAATGAGTCCCAGGAATGAGTAACCCCCCTCCCCTCCCTCTTCTTCCCCTGCTTCACGGTCAAGTTCACTCGCAATCTCCGGGGTCACGCTCCAGTTCGACTCCCGTCTGGGTGTGGTTGTTATTTAACAGGCGCGGGGTCTCTCGTGGCCGACGTTCAATAATATAATTATTATTACGAGTCACAGTTGCATCACAGTCAAGTCGTAGTTAAGTCGGAGTTGAGTCACAGTTGAGTCGTACTTTAGTCATAGTTTCATTATAATTAAGTCGTAATTGAGTCAAAGTTGAGTCGTAGTTGAGTTGTAGTTGGGGGTGGTGGGGATAGAGCGTTGCCCCCTCGCG